GGAACGTGGCCCTGCCACTTGGCCGTGAGGTCCTCTCGGTGTCTGCGGAACCAGCTAATGCCAGCTTGAGGGCTGGCATGGCTACGTTGGCAGGAAGTGAAGGGTAGCTGTGGAGTCATCGGTAGCATGAAATCATGAAACGGGCCGTGGCGGGTGCAGTGACACCAGGGAGCTGGTGAGTCTGCAGGACAGTGCTGCCCCAAGGACACGCTGTCACATATCCCAGGACGCTGACCCCGGACCCCCTGACCGGCCTCCTCGGTGGAGGGGTAGCGTGCTGCTGATGTGCTGCCCCGAGTCCCTGGAGGGGGATGCCATCATCATCCAGGCTGGGTGAGGTGGGTCACCAGGGAGAGCACCCAGGTCTCATTTGAACCTGGGTCTGCATCACCCCAGCACTCAGCCACTGTGGGCCCTGCTCTGTGGGGTGGCCAGCCCCTCGTCTGTCCCTGTCCACTCAGGGTGCCAAGAGGGCTGGCAGTGTCCTTGGCACCATGGAGGATTGGCAGCCTGGGACCCTGGGGATGCTTCAAGGTGGGTGTTTGGGGAGTCTGGTTTGCCACTTCTGTCTGGGACAAGGGACCTCATGCAGAATGACATTGCTGGTGGCCTTGGGAGCTTCAGCAGTGCACTCCTGGTTCTGGTCTTGCCCTCGCAGGGCTGAGTGGCCTTGATGGTATCGAGGTGACGTGGTGCTGAGTGGCCCTGGGCTCTGTCCTGATCACTGTCACTTGCTAGCATTTCTCTGTCCCCTCCGTCCATCTTGCTCTGAACCTGTGAGACGGGCTTTCCAGATTCCACATGTGAGGGAAGGTCTTCGGTGCCGGCTTCTTTCACTTGACGTAATGAGCCCGTTCCATCCGTGTTGTCCCAGAGGACAGTGTCCCATCTTTCTGTGGTTGGCCAGGTTCCCGAGTGCCAGTGCTTCCTCACGCTGCCCTCGGGCTGGTGGACAGGGGCTGACCTGCTCTTGGCCATGGTGTGCGGTCTGCCTTGAACGTGGGGTCTCTTCACACGCCGTCTCGTTCACCTTGGGTATTTACCAGGAGTTCTGGACACGAGGCTGGTTTTGTTCTTTCTCCCCTTCTTTCCAGTTCCTCCCTCTTAGCCTTCTGCTGGACGCAGGTGGCGCAGACCAGCCGGATCTGGGCCCTGTGCTCGGCCCCTCTCCTGGTTCCTCTGTCCCTGGCCCCCGAGGCCTGGAGAAAGTGCTGATCACAGATCTGGGGCTTCAGTTTCCGACCTTGGAGGAAAAGGGGTGGTTGTGAGTTCTACCAAGATGACGGTTTTACAGCGTGCCGTGTGGCGGCTCTGTCTGTCCAGCGGCTCTGCTACCCAGCCCGGGACGTTCCTGCTGTGCTCAGCTGGAAGCCTGTGTGCTGAGCTCCCTGCAGCCCTGTGACCACCACTCTGCTCTCTGCTTCTATGGGTGTGGTGACTGGGGACCTAGTGTAAGTGGGGTCATGAGCACGTGTCCTCCTGTGGCTTCTGTGGCTCAGCACACTACCCTCAGGGTTACCTGTGCTGCAGGACGGGTCAGAACTTCCTCCCACTGAGGGGACAGGCCATGTTTTGTTTGTCCATCCATCCATCCGTCCACTGACAGAGCTCAGGGTGCTCCCTGCGCTTGGCCTTGTGGCTGTGAGCGTTGGTATGTGGACAACCCCGAGCCCTTGCTGTCAGCCCTGCTGGATGCACACTCAGAAGGGGGGCTGCCAGCTCCTTCTGTTTTTAAGTCTTGAGGTGCGTTTCCATGTGACCGTGCCTGTGTGTCCCCACCCCAGGGCACAAGTCCAGTTCCTCCTTGTCCTCCCTGCTCATTGTCTTCTGTTTGTTCAGATGTTGACCATCCTGGGGGCATGAGGTGACTTGGCTTTGATTTGCATTTCTGGACGTTTGGTGACGTTGAGCGTCCTCTCACCCGTGCTGTGGCCATCTGAATGTCATCTTTAAAGAAAGGCCTGTTCGTCTCCTTTGCAGATTTTCCACTGGGTCACTTGTCTTACTGCTGTTGCATCACAGGAGTGCTGCGTGTGTGGACACCAACCACGTTACCCCTCCGTCGTGGGGGCTGCCACTGCACCAGCGCACCCTCTGAGGCAGGGCAGTCTGAGGTGCTCCCATCCACGGCTTGCCTTTGTTACCCGTGCCCGATGCCACAGCCCAAGGTGGCCGTCCTTCCTGACTCCCTGTATTTCCTTCTAGGGGTTTTGCAGTTAAGCTCTGGGTTAGCTCTCTGCTCCATTGGGGTTGATTTTTGATGAAGGGTGAGGTGAAGGTCTCGCCTTTCTTGTGTGTGTGGGTATCAGTTTGTCCTCAGCCATCGGTTGGAGAGGCTGATCTGTTCCTTTCCTTCTCCTGGCACCTTGTGGAGGATCACTTGATCATACAAATGGGAATCTAATCACTTCCACACTTCCTATTCTACTCCACTGGTCAGGCTCTGCGTCTCCGCCAGCACCACGCTGTCTGGATCGCTGCCCCTAGGAGTGTGTTTTGAAGTCAGGAACAGTGAGGGATTCTTCCAATTGTGTTCTTTTTAAAAACTCTTTTGGCTATTGGGGTCCCTTGAGATTCCATTTTGATTTTTTTTCCTATTTTTGTAAAATAAATGCCGCTTGGAAAAGGATTGTACAGACCTGTTGAGCACTTTGGGCAGGGTGGATATTAAGTCCCCCAGTGCGGCAAGGCAGAGGGCTTTGATTTACTGTGTCTTCCTCAACGTCTCTCCCCGCCTCAAGTCGGTTTCTAGATCCTTCACTCCTTTGATACCATTGCAAGTGGAATTGTTTCATTTCTTTCTGTGGCTCGTTCACTGCTTGTGTGCAGAAACACAACTGAGTGTGTGTTCTGTGTGTTGGATTTTGTACTCTGAACCTTGCTGAATTCACTTAGCAGTTCTAACACTGGTGTGCGTGTGTGTGCACACGTGTGTATGTGTGTACGTGTGTGTGTGTGTGTGCACACGTGTGCGTGTGCAGGACTCTTCTGAGCACAGGATGTGGCCCAGGAACTTGGCTCTGACACCTGCCGTTGGTGGGCTGTGCACGGGGCACAGGGAGCTGGGATGGGGCGGGAGGGCGTGTGCTACCCTGAACTCCGACCCTGGGGCTTGGCTGGGTGAGGAGTGGGTCTGCGTGGGATCCGCGGGCGAGGGGCCATGAACTTTCAAATGACTTCTTCCTGTTTTAAAATGAGATGCGCTTTGAGCCCCAGGCTTCTCCGTAGGCCGACTGAAATTAGAGCCCAGTTGACAAGGCGCTCTGTCCAGGGCCCGCGGTTTGCACCACAGAAGCAGGCAAATGCCAACATTTTCTGTGTCCATTTTGAGTTTTTTGAGAGGTCCCAAAATTGGCAACTCACAGCAAATTTGTGCCATTTCAAAAGATTTTGGCACCGAGCCCCTCAGCGCGGCCATGGAGTAGCGTCAGGTTCACAAGGAGCCATTGGTGGCATGCAGATGCCCCTCCCGCCAGGCCCCGTGCTGCTGGGAGCTGTGGGGCTGCCGCTGCCCACCCTTCTGCCGCCCAGCCCTTCTGCCCACGCTCAGTCCCTGTCTCCGTGGGGACTCGAGGGGTCCCAAGCTGAACCCTAGGCCTTACCAGATGGGGACACTAGGCTTAAGGACCAAAGGCCAGGTGCCAGCTGCTGGGTGTGCACGTGACGCGCACCCAAACCAGCTTGTGGAAGAGCCCATCCTTCTGGCCAGGAGTCACCCCACTCTGGCTGTCAGCTCCAGGGACACCAGCTGTCCCTGGCAGGGCTTGGCACCTCTGCCTCAGCCCATGGCCGTCGCTCACAGTGGTCCCCACCACTGCAGGGCCATGAAGGGACACGGCGCGTGCGGAGCTCGGCCCAGGGGTAAAGGAAGATGGCGCCCGCGCAGATGGCTCCACAGTCAGCTTCAGCAGCCTGGCAGGGCTTGCAGCCTACCCGCCAGCCTCCCCTCCTGCCTCCCCACCCCTGCTGCTCCGGCTCTGCCTCCACGCCAGCCCACCCTTGGCCAGCAAGGGCCACTTGTCAGCTCCATTGTCCAGCCCGGGGCCCCCAGGCAGGCTCCGTGGCTCCAGGATTTTGCCCGCCCAGAAGCTATGGTCAATCCTCCGACACCTGGGTCCAGGGGCAGAGGCCACATCTGTCTTCAGACCCCATACTTGGCCCAGGCTGATCACACTGGCCTGCAGTTGGCTTCTAGAATGATGGACACGGCACTCGGCCACCCCCCTTGGATCCCTCTGTCCCCAAGGGCAGCTCATGATGCACACACTGTACCATGGCTTCCAACCAACAGCTTCATGGACAAGTCTCGGGACCCGTTAAAGCCTAAGACGTGAGAGCCAGAGCTGCTGACCACTCTGGAGACAAGGAAACGGAGGCCACAGGAGCAGGGAGGCTTGCCCAGGTTATGGAGGGGAATGAAAGGCGTCCCCGTCCTGCCTGCTGGAACTGCGATACAGCTTTATTGAGAAACAGGGCCTTTGCAGATGCAGCTAAGAGAGGATCCTGGGATGAGATTACTCAGGAGTAGGATGGGTCCTAAATCCAATGGCCAGTGTCCTCAAAAGACGGTAGAGGAGACAGGCAAGGTGAGCGCGTGTGAAGGCAGGGGCTGATCTTGGTCACAGCCGAGGACCGCACAAGCCACCAGGAGTTAGGGGGTTTGGAGTCAGGGGGAGCAGCCCTGCCACGCTTTGATGTTTGGCTCTGAACTAAGAGAGAGTCTGTTTCTCTTGCTTTAAGCCACCTCGTCTGTGGTCATTTGACCCTTGGGAAACTAAGGCCTGGGACGGGGGACATATGTTGTGCTGCTCCCGCAGGGGGCCCCTCTATCGCCTCAAGGTTCCCAGAGCAGCTCGTAAGGACCCTCCTTGGAAGACTGCTTTCCTGGTGGCAATCCTGCTGAGCCCAGGGCCAGCTGACCATATTGGTGCCATCGCCAACATGGTGGCCTGGGCCTTGCAGGCCTGACGTCTGTGTCTGAGCCGTGTCTGTCTCCCCAGGTCCGGGCCATGCGGCTGTCCTTCGTGGGGGAGCTGGGCTGGGAGCTGCACATCCCCAGGGCATCCTGTGTGCCTGTGTACCGGGCAGTGATGACCGCGGGGGCCAAGCATGGCCTGGTCAATGCCGGGTACCGAGCCATCGACTCCCTGAGCATCGAGAAGGGTGAGTGCAGGGTTTGCGCAGCCTGGTGGCCACGGAGGCATGGAGCTAGGGACACGGCTGCCCCTCCCTCCCCGCCACGATCGCCTCTTTTTCCTGTTACCACCCATTTCCCCAACCCTCCTCGCTGCCCACGCACTGGTCTCTGGTTCCGGGCCCTGGAGAGGGTGTTAGGACGCCCAACGCCTGCACGTGCCAGGGTGAGGAAGCAGGGCCAGGTGGGAGCCGATTCAGCACAGTGGTTTCCCTGAGAGGCTTGCAACGGGCAGTGGGGCTGGACTTGGGCCTTGGGCAGGCTCAGCGCCGCTCCACCACCACGCTGCAGCTCAGCCCCGGGAGAGGTAGAGTCAGAGCAGGAGGGGCCACCCCAGCCCTCTTTAAATGCCACCCCAGTGCCCCCGCCTGATGGTGCAGGGCTCCGAGTGCCCCTGGGGTCCATCTGCTCCTGGAACTCATGCCCGAGTGTCAAGGGAGGACCTTCTGGGGTTGAGGATGTCCCCGCCGCCCGTCCTGGGGCTGCTGCCCACGTCCCTAAGCAGCTCTCTCAGGGTGGGGAATGGGCTGGGGGCCTGTCCCTCATCTTGGCAGGACCTGACCAGTGGTCCCCCCACAGGCTACCGGCACTGGCACGCGGACCTGAGGTCAGATGACAGTCCTCTGGAGGCCGGCTTGGCCTTCACCTGCAAGCTCAAGTCCCGCGTGCCCTTCCTGGGTCGCGAGGCCTTGGAGCAACAGCGCGAGGCGGGCCTGCGCCGGCGCCTGGTGTGCCTCACCGTGGAGGAGTGAGTACCCTGGCCTGGCCAGGCGCTGCTGAGCCCAAGAGGCGGGCACTTCCTGTTGCCTCAAAGCACCTGGCATGCCACTGCCCACGCGTGGCCACCCTCTCCCCGGCCACCCATCACACAGGAGCCCAGGCCTGGGGACACTCTGGTCAAGTCCCACACCAGGGCAAACCAGGCCAGTCTAGGCGACTCAGACGCCTCCAGGGCCAGGCAGGGTGGGGTGGGTCAGCGGCTAGAGCAGAAGGGCCCTGCCAGGCCACGGCTCCCCTGAAGTGGTGAAGCCCAGCCCCGAGCCCTGCCCTGGAGCCATCTCCTGGTCACCTGGGGCCACCTCCCTCCTGTTGGGGTTAAACCTCCCTGAGGCCCGTGATGGGATGACCACTACCCCCACTCACATGTGAGGACCACAGGATGCTGGTGACAGGGACTCTGGCAGAGGTAGAAGGAGTGACCTGGCTGGGGGACCCGGCCCTTGCCCTGCCTGCCGAGGGGCAGCTCTAGGACCAGTGCTGGGAGCCGGCCAGCCTCTCCACAGATTCCCGGCAGAGCCGGATCTGGGAGCCTGGCTCTCACCTGTTGTCCTGGCACAGGGTTGGTGCCAGCGGGTCTCCCAGGCACCCTCAGGGACCCGCGTGGCCCAGTCTCCAGGAAGGCACAGCTTCTGCCTTCTCTGACGTGGGCCGACAGCCAGCCGCAGAGCTGGCCTGTCCTCCGGGCCCCTCCCTGGCTCTTATCACTGTGCCTCTTCCAGGGATGGCTTGTCACGGCGGGAGCTGCTCCACTGTGGCTGGGGGTCCTTGCAGCTAGGCTGGTGTCCCGAGCCCTCTGACCCTCAGAAGCTCAGGCCTGGTGTCTGGCTCCAGGATCAGCCTCGGCTGACGACTGCTCCCCCCAGGGTCCTGCCCCAGGCTGCAGCTCTGGGCTCCGAGGGGCGAAGGACCCTGCTGCTTTGCACGGGGCCCTGGGCGAGTCCATGCTCAGGCTGAGGCCAGGCCAAAGAGGGAGAGGGAGTTCCCAGGTCTCCTCCTTCTCCCCACATCTGTTTGGCGGTGGGGCCAGGTGCTGCGTGGCCCCAGGCTGTGGTCCCAAACTGCCCTGACTGCTCCCTTCGGCACAGCCTCTGTGGTGACAACCCAGGGAGCAGCCTGCAGATGGGCACAGGGGCTCCCCGGCACCCGGGTGCTGGCATCTCTGTGATTTTAGTTTACACTTTTGTGTGTGTGTGTGTGTCTTGCATTTTGAGTTTTCGAGAATCTCGCGTGAGCTCTTGTGTGATAGAGGAAGCCCCGTTGGTGGTGCGGGCTGCCCCGTGGGCGCTCGGCTGTTCAGAGGAGAGGGTCCCAGGTAGAGCCTTTTCCCATTATGTGGGGCTTGCCCTGGAGACACCAGTGGAGCCCTGGCGGGGCGTCTCTGGTCTTCCCCATGGTCCCTGGCAGCAGGTGCCCAGACGTGCCAGGCCAGCGCCCGGCTGGCTGGGACATCACTGCCCTGGGCACAGTCCAGCTTCCCACTCTCCCCTAGGCCGGGGGACGTATGTGCACCAGGGGCCTGGGGTCCCAGCCGTCCCTATTGCTTCTTCCAGAAAAGTGCCCATGTTTGGCCTGGAGGCCATCTGGAGAAATGGGCAAGTGGTGGGCCACGTCCGGAGGGCTGACTTCGGGTTCACCGTGGACAAGACCATCGCCTACGGCTATATCCAGAATCCTAGTGGTGGGCCGGTGAGTCCCGTCCCCTGGCCCTGCCTCCTCACCCAGGCACTCCCTGACCCAGTCGGCCCTACGTCCATCACGCAAGCCCAGACTCTAGGCAAGGTCCAGGAGTTGTCCAGGGAGTTGGTCTCTGGGCCAAGTACCAGGGCTTCCCTGGATGGCGGGAGAGGAAGTTCCCCAGCCTCCCCAGGAAGAAGGGGCCACCTCTGCCTCCTCTTCCCATCTTTCCAGCCTGGAGCATGGGGGTGCCAGTGAGGAGGGTCCTGCCTTTCCACGAGCATCACTGGGAGCAGGTCTGCCCTCTCCAGAGTGCGACCGCCCTGCCCTGCCCAGCCCAGAGGCTCCAGCTGGCTCCAGCCGTCACCTGAGCCCCTGACACTCGCAGAGAAGCCAGGTTGTGGTCCCCACTGAGCGGGGAGGAGCCAGGCTGGCGTGAGCCCCTGGGAGGAGGTGATGGCTGCTCAGGCGAGGTGGGCCTGGGGAGCAGGAGGCCCAGGACACGGGCTCCTCATCGCCACCCTCTGGGCTCTGCCCCTCAGTTGCCTGTGACCTGGGATGAGCAGTTTCTCTTAGTCATTTCATCTACAGCATGGGGACAGGCCCATCCTCCTCAGGGGACAATTGTGTGGAATGCCACTCTATGGGGTTTAATAAGCCCTCCTGTGACATGGTGGCACCATTGGCAATGATGTCTGGGGTCCAGGGCCTTCTTGGACATGGGGAGACAGGAGCCTGGGAGCCGAGCAGAGGTCACTGTCCCTGCTGGGGCTGGGTGGGGTGGAGGTGCCCCTGCCTGTCCTTTCAAAGAACAGCAGCACCGGCCCTGAATTCCAGCTGGGCCAGGGATGGGTTTGGGATGAGTGTGGCCCAGTGAAGGTCACCCGCAGTCAGACAAGCGGCCCTGAACACTGGGTGTCATTGGAGCAGCAGGGCTGGCGCCCTGCCCCCGCGATCAGGGCAACCCAGAACGCTCGCCCCGGGGAGGTGGATGCAGTCTCCCGGAGCTGGTGGCCAAGCGCCTCCCGGCACACCAGGGCAACAAAGCTGCTCCGTCCCTGCCCCTCGGGACTGCCCCGGCTGGCTGCCAGCCTCTTGCCCTGCTGCACTGGGAAGCCATCATGTCCCCAGGGATCTGGAATTACTTGGGGAGCGGGGGAGATGTGCTGTCCTTTGGGACAGGATTACTGGCTGCCAGACCTGGGCTTTGCTGGACCCCAGGTGCTCACGTGGGACTTGGGGCTCGCGGGGTGTGACTTACCTGCTCTGGGGCAGTACCTGGGCTCAGAGGGGAGACTTTGGACAGGAGTGGGTTGGTCAGGGACCCCCGACCCTCCGGCGAGGAGGAAACCCTGCCCCCCAGTAACGCGGAGATCCTTGTGCCTTGCTCCTAGGTCTCACTGGACTTTGTCAAGAGTGGGGACTACGCCCTGGAGAGGATGGGGGTCACCTATGCTGCCCAGGTCCACCTGAAGTCTCCCTTCGACCCCGACAACAAGAGGGTGAGGGGAATCTACTGAGGGGCCGCCCAGGGGCCAGCACCAGCCGCCCTGCTGCGCCATCTACTGCTTCCTGCGTCCCAGGACCCTGGGCCCCAGCCAGACATGGACCTTCCCCACCCTCAGCCCCGGCCTGATAAAACTCCAAACCAGGAGTGGAGAGAGACCAAGTGCCTGTCCTGTGCTCACTGCCCCAGATGGGCGTCTGCCCACCACCCTCCCGGGACCTGGGCTCGGGGGCCATTGATTCTTCAGCCTTGGGAGATGCGGAGTCAAAGGAGGAGAGCCCACGCAGGCCCAGGAGGCCAGCTGGCTCACCTGACCCCAGTAGCCTGGCCAGAGCACTTGGTTGCAGGGTGGGGGACCAGGGCAGAGAGGAGCGGCCGAGAGGTAGGTGCTGGTCCTGAGGCCAAGGCCATCGCGCAGGATGTGGCCTCTCAGATCAGGGACAAGAGGGGAGTTAGGCGCAGGTGGGAGCTGCTGAGAGTCCCCGGCCTGAGACCTGGGTGGCCTGTGACACGTGGGGCCTGTGACACGTGGTCTCACATCAGCTCCCCGTGGCCCATGCAGAAGTGCCACCTTGGCCGCCCAGCCGTCACGGCAGGTCCACTCCGAGTGACAGCTGCCGGAATCCTGGCCTCCAGGGCCCCCTGGTCCCTGCTGTGGACCCGGCCGTTCCTCGGTCTTCCTGCTCACCCACCCGGGAGGGGCCCGGCCCGAGCCCAGCCCCACACCAAAGCCGTGGGCTGGGGCCCCTCCCCGACCCCTCCCCCTAGGAGCCCCTCCACGCCTGCCGGGTGTCAGGAGTGACCCACCTTCCTGCAGGGTGGGCGCCTGGTCCCCTCCCTCCTCCTCGCGGCAGGCCTGTTGTGCGGAGGGTCCAGGCCTGGCCCAGCAGGCCCCCCCGTGGTGCCCATGCAGTCCTTGGGGGTGCCTGTGGTTGTGGGGGGCGGTGCTCAGGGCATTGCAGGGCTGTCCCCCGACCCCCAGAGGCAGCACAGAGCACGGGGTGGGTCATCCTGGCAGCGCCTGTGCCTTCGGACACTCACACTGAGCCGAGATGGCCAGGCACATAAAACTGAAGCCACAGAAGACTTGTGGGCTGTGGCCTCTGAAAAGCCCGTTTGGTCCCCTGAGTCTGGGGAGGGGCCGTGGGCTGGAGAGCACGGTGGGCCTCTGGCTCTCACACGAGCCGGGAGGAAGGAGCACCTACGGCCTCCTGGATGAGTGAGGATCCCAGGAGCCAGAGGAAAGGGAGAGGCGGCTGCCCAGGTGGCTCGGCCTGCTTCCCGGGGCCTGCGGTTTGGCCGGGACCTCTGAGTTGGGCCTATGACCACATCCATCTCTCGGCCTGTCCTTGGGAGAGGGCCCAGGATGAGGGAGGTCGGAGCAGGTCCAGGCCAGCTCGTCTGCCCTGGGCTGCAGCGGGAAACGCTTTCCTGGGCCTCCCGCTGTTCTGCCTCCTCCTAACAGAGGGGACCCTGGCCTCTGCAAGGGTGCTGGGTGGCTGCCTGAGGGCGGCCATCATGAACCTCTTCCCCAGCTCACCTGCTCCATCTTCTGAAGGGTCCCTGCAGTGCCAGGGCCCCTGAGTGCCACTCCAGGTGAACTGCCAGGACCCACGCCCCTAGAGTGGGCTCCCAGGCTTCGCCCCCGTGCGCAGCCCTCCTTAGCTCTAACCCAGAGACGCCTCATGTCATAACTACCCTTTAAAGACTCTCCGGGGATCTGAGCACCGGGACCCTCGCTGTGGTGAGCCCATTGGCAAGGAATTTCTGGACTCTTGTTCTACAGGTGCCTGAGCTCTGGGGGCCAGAAGGGGTGGCCGTGGAGGGAGGCACAGGGGTCTCTGCACCCTCCCTTGGCCCACCCAGGGGTCCAGCAGTCCCTGGGGCTGGGAGGCTCCTTGGCCACCACAGGCGACAGGCCTTCTTCCTATTCCACCCTCCCGCCAGCTCCAGTCTGGCTCCAGTCCAGCTCCCTGTGTCCAAGAGGGACAGGCCATTGGCAGGATTGAGGTGCCCGACTCCCCGTCAGGACAGAAACCTTGGAAGCAGGGTGCATGGGTCACTTCCACCTTCCTCCCTCCCATTGCATCCCAGACTCCTCAGAGGCAGGGTGGGCACAGGGCTGCCTCCTCCACGCTGCTGACAGAGCGGCAAAGGAGAGATTGTGACTGTGTTGGACAGTGAGCCTGTTGTGTGCAAAGGTCCTGGGGCTGACCTGCTGTATGACCTGGGTGGGGTCTCATGCCTCTGGGCTGTGCAGAATAGTGCAGGTGGGCCACCCTCTCTGTCTCAACTTGGGGGACACCCCCAGGGGGCTCCTGCCTGGAGAAATAACCCTGCCTACAGAAGCACCATCCTGCCTGGCTGGGCCTGGCGATCCTATCACTCCCCCCACAGGGTGATGCACAGAGGCCACGGAGCCTGCCCAGCACAGCCACGGGTCCTCCCCTGTGCCCGTTGGACTGGAGGCAGCTAAACGGCTCAGGTCAGCCAGCAGTGAGCAGGAGGCCCACCATGCAGCAGCCAGGGCCACGCAAGACCCCCCTCTCCTGCAAGGCCCCGTCTGCTTGTGAGTGCAGGGACCAAGGTCGTCGCCTGGACACAGGACGCAGCAGATGCCGGGTCCTGTGGCAGCAGGAACTGACCGCGGCCAGGGGCGCCCTCTTGCACCCGGCTGCCGTCAGGCCAAGAAGAGCAGCCGGTGTCCTTCCAAGACCACAGGGTTCCTGGGGGCTCTGAGGCCATGCAGGGGGCCCTGGACGCGGCCAGCCTGTGGCCCTCGGCTCTCTTCCTCAGTCCCGAGCCTTGAGTGGTTGGCCCTCTGCAGCTCACTACGCACCCAGTGCCCCCAGGAGTGGGAGCGCCCTGGGCTTCCCACAGGTGTCAGTGCACGAAGGGGCAGGAGAGAAGCCAGGGCAGAGCGTGGACTTCTGACCAGGAGGGGGACAGAAGGTGTCAGAACCCAACAGGCACAGGCCTCGCCAGACAGGGTGAAAGGAGACCTCAGGCCTCTGGCCGCCAGTGGACATCTGAGGCCTGTCCCTGTGGGAATTCTGCATGAGGTGGCCCTCGTCCTCACCTTCTCTCTCATTCTAGAATCTGCTAGAAAATCTCACGGGCTCTGCATTCCAAATGCATCCTCATCTGAGCCTATCTTCACCTTCACATCACCACACTTTACCCTGGTGACTGCGTGGCTCCGTGGCCTTGTTGACCTCTCCCTCCTCCATGTACCACCCTGTGTGCTGTCAGCCTTTCTGGACTCACACCCCTCAACACACCAGGATCCCCTGACCTCAGGACCTTTGCATGGCTCTTCCCTGAGACGCCATGGGCCTCACCCCTCAGCTTCTTCAGGGTTTTGACAAAAGGTCACCTTCTCAACAAGGCAGTCCCTGATGGCTCTATTAGAATGCTCCAGGCACCCCATCTCCCACTCCTGGTGTGGTGGGTGCTGTACCCCTTTTCTCACCATCTGTCTCCCGCTGGGAGACAGCACCCAGTGCCTGAATGCGGGCACTTTACCCTTATTTCAGGCTGTGGGGAGGAGAGTTAGCCCAAGGGAAATGAGACCCAGGCTAGTGGGCCTGAGGGGGCAGCGTGGCTGCTCGAGGACCGTGAGAGTCCTGGGCCTAGGGTCCACCCATGGCCTTGGGGCTGGGGGATCCTCCTTTAGGAGCAAAACGAGCTTGGGGCACTTCTGGGGGTCCTGGGCCAAGGCCAGCCCCTCTGACGTCCAGAGACAGGAAGGAGTCGGGCTTCTAGTCTAGAACCTTCTGCCAAATGTCCCGAGTCCCCGCTGGGATCCTCCAGGAAAGGGGAGGTCCTGGCCTGGACAGTGGGCTCCCTGCCGTGGGGGGCAGCCGAAGGGCGCAGGTGGATGTGTGGCATTCAGGGTGCAGGTGAGGGAGAGGCCAGGGCTCATGTCCAGGGGAAACCCAGCTGTCCTCCTGTGTGGGGACCGGCCCCACCCAGCTGGGCCTGTGGGACAGGCAGAGGCTCAGATCCGCCCACTCAGCTGCTGGGGGGCAGCCAGGGATGGGGGCCTGTTGTGGGGGGCTCAGGAGTCGGGACGGCCCATCTGCACAGGCACCTGGGAGCCTGTGAGCCATTTCAGGGTCACAGTGGCTGAAATGTGACGGGGTGTGCTGGGACCTTGCCCGAGGGCAGGGACCTCCTGCATCCTGTGGACCATCCTCTGCCCAGGGCAGCAGCCGAGGGCCACGAGTAGCTACTGAGTCCTGACCCGTGGGAGCCCGAGGAAGAATCTGAGTGCCCAGTCTCGACCATTTAATCAACAGGAAATGAAGCCGAGGTAGCCACACCAGGCGGGGGCTACCAGACAGCACCCCCGGGGACACCCGGACCTGCTCAGGCAGGCACCCTGTCCCGGCTGCAGTCGGGGGACACCCCGTGCTCACCACTGGGCCTCTCAACACCGGCCTGGCTTGTGTCCACAGCACCCCAGGACGCTGGCACCTCCCAGCAGGGGCACTGTGTGACCCTAGCAGGCTGGTTCCCAGGAGGCACCCTCTCCTCCAAGGGGACACCCAACCCAGAGAGGGAAAGCAAGTGACCCAGTGCCACACAGCGGAGGTAAAAACGGGAAGCTGGGCTGCTGGACACAGAGCTGGGCCTTTCCGTCACCTGATGATTCAGGACGGGGTGAGCCTCGAGAGCTCTGGCTTGGAGCCTGTGGGAGGGACCCGGCCACAGCAGTCCCCACCCATGGTGACAGAGCTTTCAGGTCCTGTGTTTAGCCCCCACGCGGCCCCCGGGGCTCCTGGTTCATGAATAAGGAAGTGGACGTGGGGCCGAGACACAGGCGCCCCGTCCCCACGCAGTCTGCTCCACTGGCATGGAGCCGGCTCCCTCCCGGGCCCACGCTCCCCTGCGGGACTTTGGCGCCTGGATCCAGGTCTCTGCACCTGGTTTCCGAGCCGCCTGGGGGGCAGCAGTGTGCAGCCGCAGCAGCTCCTGGCCAGGCCTGGGCCACCTGGCCCTGGCCCTGTGCTGCCCCAGGCTGCTCCAGCAGGAGGTCGGGAGGTGGGGACTGTGCGTCTGCTGGTGTCTGAGGGGTCGGAAGCTCTAGGACCGGGTGGATCTGGCTGCAGTCCTCTGGGGACGTGGGGTCAAGCTGGCTCTGGCCCTTCTCTGCTGCCCCGTGAGGGAGGCAGTGTGGGGGCCACAGTGCTCTTGGGACTTGGAGGGCCAGTTGGCCCTGTGGCCCCGAGTGTCACAGCAGCTCTGGGCTGTCTGGTGTTTGGGGGGCAGCCACCAGGCAGGACCAGAGGGAGGGCCAGCCCCCGCAGGGAGGTGCCCCACCTGTCACCCGGCTGTGAGACGACAGTGGCCCGGACAGCGGCGGAGCCGGCTCTCTGGGTGCTGTCGGGGCCTGGCATTAGGCAGCAGTTTCTCCCCACGACTTATGGCCGCCAGGAGCCGTGGTTTATCCCCGCGGTACAGAGCGTCTGGGTGCGTGACTCCCTGTAACGGAGTGCCCTGCGGAAGGCTGGCCGCCACCGGCTGCTGTCTGTGGAAGGCCCCGCCGTCCTTCGCCCGCCCTGTCCCCCACCCTGCCCCCGCCGCAGCGTCTTGCTGGACTGACTGACTGGACAGAGCAGCATCTGTCACTCTCTCCAGGGACCTTCAAGGAGTTGAGCTTGACCTCAGACAGGGAGCTGCCCAGAGCAGTGGACACTGACCCCCACAGGGCCCGGCTCCCCCTCGCCCCAGGGAAAAGGCTTGGCTCCAACAGCGTGGCAGCCCTGGCACAGCGTCCCCACCCAGCCAGTGGTAACTGTTAACACCCTCTCCCTCAGCTGGCACGCCTTCCCTCCATTTGACGGACGAGGAGACGGAGGGTCACACAGGTGGCAGGCCGGCCCAGGTCTCCCTGAGGGGGAGGCAGTTCTGGTTCTGCCGCGCTCACGGCTCCTTTTCCCCAGGGAGCCAGAGCCAGGATGCCCGCCTGCCTGCGCCGTCTCCCTTCAGGGGGAGGAGGCAGTTCTTGGGCCTTCCCTTTAGGTGGGCGAAAATATCTGTTTACTCCACAGCGGAGCAATTTCCCCGCGCAAGCCTCTAACTAGCTGATGGCCCGTCCTGCCCCTTGGCAGGGGAGCCGCCCACCGGGACACAGGAGCTGCTCTGCAGGGCCATGTTTAGTAGAGCTGTCACTGTACACAGGGACACCAGCCCCCAGCGGGACCAGCAGGGCGGGGCCGCGGGTCGCAGGGGAGCCTGGCTCTCCCAGGAGGCAGCAGGACTTGTGGACCCCAGGCAAGGCCCCCGCGGGGCTCATCCTGACTGGGTCAGCAGGGGTGGACACAGCTGTGTCTACCCAGTCCAGGGCAGGTCAACAGGGAGCCTCCGGGCCATGCAGGGGTCTGGGGGAGGAGGCTGGTGTGGCCCAGGTCTCAGGCAGGGGCTTGGTCCAACCCCTTCACCTGGCACTCAGCACTGCACTGGGGGTCCCCTGGGGGGGCTTCAAGCATGCGGATGGACAGGGCTGGGTGGGCCACTGGGACACAGGGAGGAGGGTTGGAGGCTCCCTTTCAAGCTTTGCCACGACCAATGTTGACCACCGTGGGGCCAGCGGGGCTCTGGGTCCCATGGGTGGGGCAGTGCGGGGTGGGCTCTTCCAGGGTGGAGACAATCTTAGGCAGCGGCTGCAGGTCCCATTCCCCCTGCAAGGAAGGCACAGAGCAGGCTGAGGCTCAGGCGGGCAGGTGCCCAGCAGCCTCCTGTCTTACCCGCACACTCCTCTCGACCTAGACTGGACTCCCATTCCTCTAAGCTGCCCTTGGGGTGCCCTCCTGGGTTGAATGCTCCCCCCCACGCCCCTTTGGGAGCCTAGGAGCCCCCAGACCCCCACGTAATCCCCACCCTAACGCAGCGCTCCAGCCCCATGCAGGCTCTGAGGTCCAGGCCTTGTTCCGAAGGAGGAGAGGCCGCGTCAGAGCGTTTTCTCCCGCCCTGCTGGCCAGCCCTGCCCGGGGTGCTGGATTGTGTGATCTAGAAGTTAATCCAGCTCCCCAGAACCCCAGGAGAGGCCAGCTTCCCAGATGTCCCGGCGCCCAGCTCAGCATGGCCCTGGCCTCCCGGCCAGCAGCTTGGCCGCAGGCTGCTCGGCTGGGCACGAATTAAGTGCCGTTGGATCCCTGTAGGCGGAGGAGCCTGCTTGGGCTGCAGACTGGGGTGTCTGCTGCCCCCGCCCCCAGCGCTGTATTTTTAGGCTCGTGGGAAGCTGCTGGTGCCCGCTCACACCCCACATCAGCTGTCTCCCAGGGGCCTCTGCTCCCTGCTGTCCGTCCATCTGGCCTGTCCCCCTGGTGGTTTTCTCCATCCCTCCCGCGAGTGCTTCAAGTCAGCTGTTTGGGGTGCGGGCCCCTCGCCCGCCGGGGCCCTCCTCGGGCCTGGGGAGACCTGGGCGCGTGGTGTGGGCAGTGGCGGGTGCTGGCTGGCCTTGGAGGTGGAGAGGCCAGGGCTACCTGGAAGCGGACGGCCGAGGACCTGTTGCAGTGCATGGAGATGGGCGCGAAGGCGTAGAGCGCCCTCAGCACGTCGCGGCTGAAGGAGTTCCAGGGCACGGAGGCAAACTGCTGCGGGACGGTGGCCTGGGGGCAGGTGCAGACGTCCTCGCTGTTGAACCTGGCGGGGACAGTGCGGGAGATGACAGGGAGCCCGCAGGATGCAGGTGAGGCCCGCCGGTGGCCCCGTGCCACCTGCTCCCCAGCCCAGTGTCCTGGCCCCTCCACGCTGGCAGTGGGCTTGTCCCTGGCCTGCACCAGCTGGTCGCAGCCAGGGGACTGACTAGTGATTCTGTCACTGTCACTGGCACCTCCTGAGTGCCACCCTGCTCCAAGAAGCAGCCTGGGTCCCGCCACGGTCCCTGGGGCAGAGTCAGGACACTCGCCTGTTCACCAGGTGGAAGTACTTCTGCAGGAAGCCGGGGTCCACGGCGCTCTTGCACAGCTCCAGGTGGGTCTGGGGGTAGTAGTGCACATAGTTGACGCACATCTCCTCCAGGATCCCAAAGCCGCCCTGCAAGGCCAAGGAGACCCGTCAGCCTGGCCGTCACCCTGCCCGTGGTCCCCAGCAGTTTCCCATGCACACTGTGCCCGCATCTGCGCCTGCTGGCAGCACAGTGTCGGGCAGCGCACCCCCACCCCATGGAGCAGGGGACAGAGTCCCGCCCCACAGGCTCCCTTCCTTGGCAGGCGCAGGCGGCCAACAAGCATCAGTAAACCCACACTAGTGGTGATGGTGCCCTGATGAGGGGACGGGGCCGCGGACAGGGCCGCTGTTATGCCCGTCCATGGCTGTAGGTAGCGGATCTCGGGGAGGACGAGGGGCAGCCCTGGGCTGGCTTCAAAGTCCATGGCAGCAGGATGGTGGCCAGGAGCTGTCCCTGGGGCTTCTAGCAAGGGCAGCAAGTAAGGAGCACCCTTCCACCGCCAACAGCCACTGGCCATCGGTCACTCCCACAGCTTGGCTCTGACAGTGGCCAGAAGCCTCTCCTGGCCTCCAGCTGCCCAGCCCTCACCTGCATGGCTCTGCCTCTGGACGCTCACTGTCCAGTGCACAAGGAGCTCCTGCCTAGAGGCACATGGTGTGAGGCTGCCTGGCACAGGACAGCCTGCCCCGTTAGGGCCGGGCCTCGTGAAGCCCAGCAGGTGGGATGTGTTGGAGCCCTGCCCCAGAGCAGTCGGCTACCTCCAAGCCTCGGTGGGTGCCTGCAAAGCTCCCTGGCCTCCGAGCTGTGGCCCTGAACCCAGAGAAGTTGTCCCCAGATCCAGAGGGAGCAGGGAGGCAGGAGCAGCACAGCCTCAGGGCCCGGGTTAGACCCAGCAGACCTCAGCCCGAGACCCTGGGCCAGCGTCTTCCCGCTCTGGGCCTCTGTGGCTCCCAGGACGGAGCAGAGACTCCTGCTAAGTAGGGGTGGAGAGGACAAGGCCACCCACTGACGGACACATCACGGTGACGTGCCACCTCGTGGGAGCAGAGCATGGGCAAGCTGAGCTCTGTTGGATCCCAATGCCCTGCAACATGGACAGAACTGGAAACTGCCCAGAGCAGGAGGCCAGGCCCAGAGGCCACACGGTCCTAGGCCAGTTACGAGAACTACCCAGATTGGCCACTCCAGAGGCAGAAGGCAAGCAGAGTAGCCAGGCTGGGCAGGGCCTGCAGGGCGACAGCTCAGGGTGAGTTTCTTCCGGGGTGGTGAGGGCCTCTAACATTGGCTGTGGGCATGGCTGGGGGTGTCGGGGGCTGTACCAAGGTCACTGGATCAGGGACCTACATGAGCGAGTGGTGTGGCGGTGGATCACAGCTCCGTGATGCCATCAAAGATAGCCGTGACCTAGTCACAGAGATGGACTGACCGTGCGCTGCTGCATCAGGGTGGGGGCAGAGTCGAGGGCTCAGGTGCTGGGTGGGATGCCACCCAGGTCTGGTCCCCTGAACCTCGGGACTCACGGATGAGTCCTGCCTGCTGCCATGCCAAGCCAGCAGGCTAGACCCACTGCCCCGCCTGCCCAGCGGAGACCACGTTCTCGCCACCGTCTCACCTGTCCTTGAGGAGGTCCTTCCCATCAGCTGCTCCCCCTCCTTGGGCTGCCCACAACCCCGCCAGAATGAGGCCTTCACATCCCTGCAGTCTCCAGTCACCCGTGCCCACTGATGCCCATCCGTGCTTCTACCCTCCCCGGCCAACGCCCTCCATCCGTCTCCGTCCCCTGGGCCTTCCTGCACACAGCCTGCCCCCCGGAGGCTGCCACCACCCTCTCCACCTTGCCACCTCCACCTTCTCTGGTCTCCGTGTGGTGCCGCTTTGGTGGTGAGGTTTCCGTGGCCCTAGCTCCCGGGCCACTCTCTGCTTTTCTGTTTCTACTATGATGCTGCTTGTCACTTAGGGCCAGTGGTTTGGTGCCCCGGTGGACTCGGCCCCACAGGGCCTCCTGGCTCCTCCCACACCCAGCCCAGTGCCGGGCACACAGGTGCCAACACGGCCTCTGTGGGAGCTCTGAGTCGGCAGCGGAGCAGCCAGCGGAGCTTGTGCCGGGCAGAGCTGGCGCTACCACCACATTCCCCACTCAAAGGGGCTGGCGCGGCTGAGGTTTGCCCAGCTAACACACTGCCTGGGGCTGCCAACGCCACGGCCTGGGACCAGACTGAGAATGGTGGTTGATGGAAGGAGAGAGGGAGGGACCCGCTCCCTCTGGAGGAGGTGGGACTCGGCCAGGGGCAGTGTCAGGAAGTAGGCGCCCCCCCCCCCGTTGTGCTCCAGGAAGGCAGCTGGGGGTGGGGGACTTACCACAGTGGCCAGCTTCCTGTCCTCTGTGTTGTATGTGCAAGAAGTGATGAGCACGTCTCCCTGGAACAAGCCAGTGATGGGTCAGCACCGCCAACCGGGGGCAGGCGCTGGGTCCACATGTGGCCCACCCCTGTGAGAGTCAGTGTGCCACTTGCCCACCACGAGGAAGCCCTGTACACAGGAGCGCAATCTGAGTGTCCACATGGATGCCAGCCCTCGGGGGTGTGGTTAGGGCCTGGCTGTGGTTAGGGCCTGGCCCAGGGGCGTGCAGGTTGGCTGGTCACCTCACAGCCCGAGTCCCCACCTGGACAGGGTTTGCCTTGGGTGCTACCAGCCGTCCTACCTCAATACTCTCACCTCTGCCTGAAAGCTATGGACTTGGAGTTCTGCTGACCAAGCTGGAGGACACCCACCTCTCTGATGCCCTCAGTGTTCCTTTCTGATGCCCTCTATGCAGCACCATGTGTCCCACCTGAGGTGGCCCAGGTCCCATGCTACCCATGGCTCTCTGCCCTGCCCTGTGGATTTCCCTTCCCCATCACCGTCTGTCTCCCTCCTCCAGGGAAAACACCCCCCACTCCGGCCAGCCTGCCCGGGCACTCACCTGATGGACAGACACGACCTTCTTCAACATGCGGATCTCCTGGCATGGGGGAAAAGGGGGCGTCAGAGGGCTCTGGCCCTCCTCCATTAACTTCCCCCTGGGAGTCGGCTCTGATCTGGCCTCCCCAGGGCTGCCAGGCTTGGCTAAGTGTGGGCTCTGGTCAGCGGGTGAGCCTGGGGCCAGAAGGCAGCTGTCCAGGATGTGTCTCTCCCTGGTCCTGGTGGCATGTGGCAGGCCCTCCCCAGACCAACACCAAGGGGCTGGGGAAGATGCCCCAGCATAGCGCCCCTCAGCGGAAACGGAAGGAGGCGTGACCCCTCCCCCCTACCTGGAAGTGAGGGCTGTAGTGGTTGTCCCTGTTCACAATCTCTGTCTCCCGGCCGTCCCGGACCAACACGGTGACCACCTTCCTCCCGGTCAGATGCGTGTGGAGTTGAGAGGCGAAGATGTGGACCCCCGAGGAAGGTAGGGCCTGCGGGCGGGAGGAGCGGTCAGGACGTGCTCTCGGCTTCCGTCTGGCTCTTCCTCTGGTCGGGTTGGTCTCCTGTCTTGCTGCCACTGGCCACTGGCCCTGCCCTTCGATCAGTGAGACTTGTGTGCTTGCAGTGCTGTGAGCACTGGGGACCCTCAGGGCCTGTCGGGGACCCTTTGGCCTCCTGACACTGTCCACTGGCTAGAGGTGCTGGTCTGTGCAGGTGCAGGAAGGAGCGTGCTTCCTGGGGATGGCGTCCCAACAGGGTACCTCTCGGCTTTTCTGCCTGACTACAGGTGTCTAGACCACAGGCTCTGACAGCCGGGCGTGTGGCCCCGGAGGGACAAGACACTCCGAGAGCGTCACCTTCAGGAAGCCATCCACATAGATGTGATTTTTCAAAAAGAGCTGGGTCACTTCCACCTGGACACTCTAGTAGAAGGCCGGTCTGCATTCCTGAGGCTGGATGGGTGGTCTCCAGGTAAGAGGGGTCCAAGGGACCTCAGCCCCCCACAGTAGGCAGGGCCGCGGTCACTTTTGCCCAGTGAACCCTGAGGAGGTGAGGCCAGCCCGAGGCCAAAGAGCCTTCTACAGACAGGGAAAGGAATATCCCCAACGGGGACCTTGGGGGTGGAAGACAGTATGCGAGGCAGGGCAGGAAACCATTGTGACCCCCACTTCGAAGCTGCTGCTGCCCAGAGGCACAGCCCTGGAGTCACCCAGACCTGCCTCCCACCTCACCCTGGGGCTGCTGGGGACATGGCCTCCGCAGGCTCTGTCTCCCCCATTGTGAAATGGGCACCAGGACATTTACCTGCCACTCACTGGGAAGCAGAGTCCAATGTTTACAACAGACTGTGAAGTGGCACCCCGTTATCCAAAAGCCCCCGGAAACAGCGGTGGCAAGAGGCCAGGCCCGTGGGAGAAGCCGGGCCAAGCCTGGGAGCCCAGACTCCAGGAAAGAAGAACAGTGGGCACAGGCCCAAGGAGGCCCAGCCCTGGGAGGCCCGGAGGGACCCTGAGCGGCATGGCCGTGTCCGCCTCCCAGGTGGCCGGAAGACATTCAAGAGATGGACAACATGTCGGTCGGGGCATCTCCTTCCACGTGGGCCAAAGCCTGGGGAGGGCTTTCTGCGGCCCTTTGGAGATGTGTTCTGAGGGCAGGTCGAGTCTCGACCTCTGACCCACGTTTCCCCACACACAGGAAATGTCCCTGCAGCTTCTCTGTGGGTGGGACACGGGCCCAGCCCGGCCCAGGAAGGCAGGCGAGGGAGCCTGAGCCGGGCCTCGGGGCTAGTGCACTCAGTGCAGCCTGTGCCCTGTGCCCGCAGAGCCCGGGGCATGCTGGGTGCCCTGCCGCCTCCCAGCCCCACTCTGGTCAGGTTCCTAGAGAAGCCTCCCACTGGGGGGCCGGGGGTGTTACCCAGAGGCTGAAGGCGAGTCCCAGGACTCAATTCACCCAGCAATCTATAAACTACTGTCAACTTCTCAACGCGGTGTTATGTTTTTTCCTCTCTTTTTGGTGCTGGGGATTGAACCACCCAGGGGCGCTGAACCACCGAGCCACATCCCAGCCCTTTTTATTCTGTATTTTGAGACAGGCTCTTGCCAAGTTGCTTAGAGACTTGCTAAGTTGCTGAGGCTGGCTTTGAGCTTGTGATCCTCCTGCCTTAGCCTCCTGAGCCACTGGAGTCGATGTTTTTTAAATGTAAAACAAGACTGTACATTCCCGTGACCTCTGAAGGTGTGAGTCAACATGTAAGAGAAAGCCCCGGAGGGCACGAGGAGCGGTGAGGGCATCTCGGGAGGGGTGCAGAGAGCTTGTCCTTGGGGACATCACCTGCGTTCCTGGGGGTGAGTGTGTGGGGGCCTCCTCATGGAAGGAAAGTGCACTTTAAAGTGCAGGTCATGGAAGCTGGGCATGCGGGCACCTGGGCACGCAGGCACCTGGGCACGTGGGCACCTGGGTGCTTGGGCAGAGCCCCATCAATGCTGGGGAGGCAGATGCAGATGCACCAACACCCTTGGGATCTGGGAACCTCGGTACCCGGCCGCCCACCCTGGCCACCCTGCTGGCCCCACTCACCAGCTGGGTGCACTTGTCCGTGCAGTAGCCGGTCAGGACGAAGGCGGTCTCCTGTGGGGGGATGGCCATCACGGGTGTGTACACTAGGCCCAGCTCCATGATCCCTGCGTCAAAGCGCCGCAGCGTGGCTGTGTAGTAGAGCCGGATGCCCGAGGAGTCGCGCCGGCCTAAGAGAAGGGGGACACGGTTGGCAGAGGCCCCTCAGCAGCCCTGGGCACAAATTGCGCTTAGGACCCCAGCTTCCCTTAGGAGAGCCACACCTCACACCTGCTGACCCCGCCTGATCTGCCAAGAGCCCAGCTTTTGTTCCCACTCCTGTGGACCCAGGGTCTCAGTGCACACATGGGACACCCATGTGCAAACAGCTGTCCTTTCTACCAAAGCTGGTGGACCACGTCACTGTCCTCCGGGGTGACGGCTGGCCGAGGGGTCCTGAGCAGGAGCCTGGGCTGGGGCGGGGCTGCTGTGAGTCTGCATGAGCCTCCAGCCTCACTCGGTCCACAGGGCTCACAGAACCTCTTCCCAAGGAGACCTTGTGTCTCCTGATTGCTTTGCCTGCACCTGGGGGTCCTCTGAGGTTTGGCGAGTCCCTGGACTCCCTGGGAAGGGGCTGGTGGGCAGGGGTCTGGGATGCTAGATCCACAGGAGCAGCCACATAGCCACACGTCCTGCAGCAGCCCTCACCCCCTCCCAGGGTGCCACGCTGGGCAAGTCGGTCAGTGAAGGGCCTTGTACTGGGGCTGCACGGATGGGTGGCCAGACCACGCCCCTGGACACTGGTAGGAACAGAGATGGGCAGGAGAGGCTCCAGGGCTTGGTGCCCCTTGGTGTGTGGGAAAGGGATGTGGATGGGGTGCTCTGTGTCACAGGACACGACTCTCAATGAGCATCCAGTGATGAGCCACGTAGGAAGTTCCAGTCACAGGAGAGGCCAATGGATAGCCTCAGCCTGGTGGGCATCCCTGGGCAGGCAGTGGCCTCTCCTCTCAGCCTTCTGCTGGTCCTTGTGCGGATGCACTTCTGGGTGGGAGAAAGCAGGACAGAGGGGTGCAGGGCCACTGTCTCCCCAGGCCAGGCACTGTCCTCACTGTCCTGTCACTGGTCAGAGTCACGGTCCCCACGTGCACATGAGGAGACAGGATGGATCCTGAATGGGAGGCCCTGGCGGGGCTGGGACCAGAGCCCGGGCTCCCAGCTCCCTGGGGCCACCCTCCAGTCTCTTCCTCCCTCCTGCCGGCCCCCAGCCAGACTCAAACGGCTCCTGCGTCTGTGCCTGAGTTCATCAGAGGATAATAACACAAAGGGGGAGGGGGTGGGTTAAAATTCAGATGGGGATTAAATAATGAGATAATTTGGGGATTTTGATATTTATAGAAAAAGCAGCCCATCTCCAGATTTACAGGGTGACAGGAACATCCTTATGTTGGCAAAGGATCCATAAATACCACCAGATAATCAGGAGGAGACAGACTTCCCTGATGCTTAAGGAGTTTTTGAAAATCCATTTGCTTTCAGGTTTTAAATGAGCAATAAATCCCATATCATGCTAAGGCCTGAGCCGCGTGTCTGCTCTTTGCACGCCGCAGATAGCGCAGTGGGGGCCGAGAGCCCTGCGTGTGCAGCTGGGAAGAGAGCCTCGGGCGGCATCGGCTGAGCGCAGCCCCCGTCACCGGCAGCTGGGAGCACTGGGTGCACGGACGTCCCCCAGCCTCACAGCCCTCATCCATCAGGGTATTTCTGTTCCTCACTGGCACAAATGACAATAAGTGTCATTCAGAGAGAAAGAGAGCGGAGAGAGGGAAAGGAGCTACATATGGTGGATGATGCTGGTACGACAGGGAGAAGGAAATCTGCTCAGCTTCTGATATGGTGTCCAGGGTATTCCCATCCTAGAGGTCAGCTCTGGCTGCTCCACCTTCAGGCACAGGGCCATCAGGCAGATCCCACCCTCTGCCCCAGCTCGGCTCTGAGCCAGGCTGGACCAGCTGTGTTCCCAACATGCTCTGTTTAGCAGTCTCCCTGTCAATGACAGACCCTTCCCTCTCTGGAATGCAGCCCTTGGCTGCTTCCCGTAAGGAGATTCTCCGCATAAAGCAAGGCCCGTGTTAGACACCATAAAGCCACCCCCGCACGTGGACCTCATCCTCTTGGGCTTCCTCACACTTGGCTTGTGCCTCCCCGCTGCGTGGGCCTGTGTGCCTGTCTCATCTCCTTCTGGAAGCTCCTTGAGAGTGTCCTCCTTTCCTGAGGTTCCTCTCCGAGTCTGAAACAGCCCCTCGTGCACATGGGGCCCTCCGCAAACACCGACGGAACTGAACGCATCGTCTGCTTTTCCTAGGCACGCACCCCGCGGGTGAAGCAGGAAGGAGGCAGAGGTGCGTGGTCCCACCCAGACGGTCCCGGGCCAGTCTGGACAACACGGGCTGCTGTCCGAAGCCTCGGCCAGGACGTGAGCTGGGAAAGGACCTCAATCCCGCGCCGTCACTTCCTGGCAAGATGACCAGGGCAGGTCCTCCTCCCTTCTCAAGTCCACCCTACAAGTTGGAGGATGCGATCCCACCCTGCCTACCTACCCGGGGGACCACGAGGACTTGGCCTCTGAGTGTCGAGGTGCTGAGAAGCTCAACAGCACCAACTGAGCTGCCCCCACTGTGTCCTGCTACCAAACCTATGCCGCCCTCTGGGCCAGGAGCAGAACCCCAGGCTGGGAGCCCCTGCCTGCCAAAGGCAGTGGGGAGCCTTCCAGCCAGCCCCGTCGGCCCTCCCTGGTGTGTGCGCACGTGGACAGGAGCTCCCGGCCTGCTCACACCCTCGACAGCTCTGCCTCCGTGTGTTTTGAGAAGCACACAAGGACAATCAGAAAGGCCCCCAGGGACCAGGACCCTGCCCTGGGGACAGCCCTGGAGGCAGTGTCTCCCAGCGGTCAGGGGCAATTACAGGGTTCTGGCAGGGACCACTGCTGACCCTGGAACGTCCTGTCACCCTGCCATGGCCAGGTGCCCTGTCTTGGCCCAGCCTGTTCTAGAGAGGCCAGGGCCATAGCCTGTGGGTACCAGCAGGACCTCAGTAACAGTGGTGGTCAGGGATGGGGGAGCTGATGGTCTGAGCTGCCTCTAACCTCAAGAAGGTGGACTTCCAGGGAACCTCCACCCAGGCCCCGTCCTGCTGCCCCTGAATGCTGGACTAGTGCTGACACCCCAAACTAGCCTCTGGCTCTGCTGTGGAGCAAGGAGAGGGTCTGTGTCTGCCTGGCTGCCCCCACCCTGGCATCCCAGTGACCCGCCGTCTGGAGGCAGCCTGGGAACCAGGCTGGCCTCGAGGCTGTGTGGCCAGGGCTGGGGCATGGACTAGACCTCTTGTCCTCTGGTCCTGCTCGCTGCCCCCTAGTCCCTGCATCTAGAATCCTTGGTTTCCTCATCTACACAGTGGAGATGAAGACACCTCCCGGCCTTGGCACCTGGGATGTGCCATCTGGAGGGCACAGGGCCCGGGGCAGGGCTGCCACATGGGGCAACAGGCCACGCAGCTGGGGGGCCTTGGGGCGGGTGCCTCTCTGAGCACACTGCTCATGCCGCCAACACTTTGGGCTGGAAGCACGGCCAGCCCCAGTGCTCCTAGGAGGGCAGAGCAGGCCTGCAGATGCCCTCCGCTCCTACCTGGGATCTTCAGCGGGTTGTGGTAGTGGACCTCGAGGCGGAGGTACCTGGAGGACCCGGGGCCCCCAAACGCAAGGCCAGCTTCCTCGGGGTAGTAGAACGCCTGCGGAGAGGGGGACAGTCAGACGGAGGAGGAAGACCCACAGCGGGGCAGCCCTGCCGAGGTGCTGGGGTCTGAGCTGGGGCATGGTGTGGCCGGACCCTAGATTAGGGTGACCCTCATCTGCTGCCATCGACATCCCACGGGGACCTGCCAGGCTCTGGACTGACAAAGGCAGACCCCACTTGCCTCCAGCCACCCTGGGGCCACGCTGTGCCCACACCCCGAACTCCAGGGGGAAGCAACTCAGCTCCCAGGTTCACGGAGCAGGGAAAAGTGCCTGGGGCTGGAGAAAGCCCCAGCCCCTGAGGAACGAGGGCTCAGGCCTCCTATGGGCACCTGGGGCTGCTTGGGGCTCAGGCCCCGGTGGCCTCAGGAGCACCCGACAGCCCCCTTCTTGGGGTCTTTGGGGCAGCAGCACTGGGGAAGCCCAGGTGCGGGGAGCAGGACCCAGCCCGGGGAGGACGGGCTGCTGGGCGTGGGCCCCTCACCTTCGCGCCCAGGGCCCAGGCGGCCAGCACATGGCGGCAGTAGCTGAGGCGCTGGGGCTTCATCTTGGAGTCGCAGGGCCCGCTGAAGTGGGGGAAGCTCTCGAAGGTGGCCGTGCACTGGAAGACCTCCATGTGGTGCACCAGGGCCTCGTTGCCCTC